TGCTTTCGACTCGAATTATGTTGTTTCAACAATAACTGGTTTCGATCTCAGTTTCCTCTTAGCAAACAATTTTGCTAAGTGTGTTCTCGGGAAGTCGAATATGCTTCAATAAGCTAATCCTTCTTCAAACATTAATCATAACAGTATCCAGACCAATGTCGAAATCGTTTTGATTTGAAAAGTAAGCTCAGAAAAACAGAGAGAAAAATCCGAAGCGATTTACGTACCTTACGATTCTCACGTTTGGAATTGAGCATTCGCTTTAGTCTTCGACTCGAAAGAAAATTAGTTAAGCATGACCAATGTCATACTTAGCATAATTGAAAAAGAAATTCTAAAGAAAATAAAGGAAGTATGCGAAAATTATAGAGAAAAAGAAGACTTTATTCTTATATGAGAGAGATATGTTTATGGGCTTACCCTGAGAGGGTATTTATAACCTTCAAATTCTTAAAAACAAGCTAAAACATCTTAAATTTTAAGTAAAACACTTAAAACTATTTAAACTAAAATTCCTAAAAAATAATATTTAAAATAATATTATAAATCCTAATTAAAATACTAAAACCTATTTAAACTAAAATACCTAAAACAAAAATAAAATATAAAAATAATATCATAAAACTTAATTAAAATACTAAAACCTATTTAAACTAAAATACAAAGATACAATATAATGTTTAAAATATTATCCTAAACTTGAGTTTAATTCAAATCCGAATTCCAGCCGGCTTTGATTCCGAAAATAAAAAAACTGCAGAATTCTGTCATTTGTGTGCAATTTCCAAAATCTGATGTCCTACACAGAAAATGAATCAAAACGAACAATTAAGCCACAAAAACCAATGATTAAATAGTAATTTAAAAGCAAAATATTTACTAAATTAAACACTTATCAAATTCCCCCTCACTTATTCAATGTTTGTCCTCAAGCATTCATCAATTAATACATCCAAATCACAAGTTGCCATCTTCAATTTCAATTTATCCCTCAAACTTCCAATTGAACTAAGTTCATGATATTTGTCGAATTCAAGTAACAATCAAGCAAAGGTACAACCAAGAAAATTTAAAGTAAGCAAGATATCTCAATTAATTGTCAACTTCAATAGAACATGACTCAATACCTCACAAAGATTCACACATATCAGCTCAAAATATTTGGGGTAAATGAAATCGCTCAAACCGAAACTAACCAAAATATTACCATAGGTTTTGAATCCAATCAAGTCTCCACTGCGAAAAATGAACATAATGCAATAATCAAGGGGTCTTTAAACAAGGTGTAACGGGGCTTAGGTTAGGGTAGGGAAAGGTTGAAAAGAAAAGGTTTAAAAATACTGAAACAAGAGATCAAAATAATTAAGAACAATTCACGAATTAACATGAAGCGCAATGAAGAACAAAACAACAAAAAAGAATAGATGAAAGACAATTGAAGCGATTGATTTTTCCTTCCTTTTTTTCAAACAAAGGGTCATTTTTCTTCTTCTTTTTTTTTACTGTTCGAAACAGTGAACAACTTGTTTTTTTTCGATTTTTTTAAACATTGAGTTTTTTTTCGTGAAACAACAATGATACAAGATCTCAAGTCTCGACAAGGGTATGCTCGTTAGGCTCAAATCTCACAAGAAAAGTTTATATGCATTGAGTCAAGTTCATCTATATCGATAAAAGCATAAAATATCAATACTTAACAAAAAATTCACCAACTATATTAATCACCAATCATGCAAATTAAATTCGATCAAAAACATGGTCATAATCTAAAAGGAAATAAGAGTATAAAGTGAAATTCATGACTAGCAACCAACGATCCCAACATATCAACATCATAATAACTCAATTTCAAACAATTAAACAAATCAAGGAAAATTTTGACGACATGTTTTTCATTCCCCCCTCACTTATTCTGTTTTTCCCAAAACGTATATCAAATTTAAAAACAAAGAGAGTGAAAATGAATACACCCCAATCTAGTGGCGATCGCGACCATGTCGACATGAGCTGTTGTAGAGTAGAATGTATGATACTGTACTATTTTGTTCGAACTTTTCTGCATAGTTCAAACCAAATCTATTTTTTTCTGCACAGTTCGAACCAAATCTATTTTTTCTGCACTATTTTTTGTTAAATATTCGATCGGAATTCATATTTATTCAGAGAAAAATAAAATAAAACTACTCAAAATAAAATAAATATAATGAAATAAAGTTCTCTAAAAATAAAACAAAAATATAACGAAATGGGTTGCCTCCCATTAAGCGCTTTTGTTTAACGTCGTTAGCTCGACGACCTGATTTTTCAAAGTGTGGGTTCCTCTAAATTGATTTCTTTGATTAGACCATCCGGAGCATTTTCATAATATGGCTTCAATCTTTGACCATTAACTTTAAATCGTACTCTTGAGTTATCTTCAATTTTAATGGAACCGTAATGAAATACTTGAGTAACTGTAAATGGTCCGAGCCATTTTGATTTGAGTTTTCCTGCAAAAAAAAGTTTAAATTTGGAGTTAAATAATAAAACCTTTTGACCGACTGAAAAAGTTTTAAAATAAATTATACTATCGTGAAATTCTTTTGTTTTTTCTTTAAATATCCGAGCATTATCATAGGCATTTCTTTAAATTTTGCAAACTTACAAGGAAATCCTCACAAGGTATATTGTTTGCACAATTCTAGAACAAAGAAAATAACACTCAAGAATGAATACAATTGAGCACAATAAGTGTTCTTGAAAGAAAAATGAATATTGAATGAAAAATAGGCTTGAAATGATCAAACTTGAGGTTTGATGCTTTCTCTTTGATTCTCTCTTGATTTTAGTTGCTTGATGTTTCTTGCTATTGATCAATGTCTTCTAAGCTTGCTTAAATACACCTTGAATCACTTCTGAACGTTGGGGATCATTAATGAAGATAATATAGCCGTTTTAGTGTAAAATCAATTAATAAAACAGCTTGGAGCGCGGGGGGAATCGGTACCCCATAGGGGGAATCGTTCCCTAAGTGTAAAATTCAAATATTTTGACTGTTGAACTGTGGGGGGAATCGGTTCCGTCCGAGCATACTGAAATTCTCGGAGCCAAACTGTTCAGGGGGAATCGGTACCCCCTTGGGGGGAATCGGTTCCCTCTGAGCAATCTGGAATTTTTGGCTTTGAGATGGTTCGAAATATTTTGTAAAATCGTTTTGAAATTATTTTAAGATTAAAACTTAATTTTACACTTGAGTAAGGATTAAAAATGACATTTGAAAGATTTGGAAGGATTAAAAATGACATTTGAAAGATTTGGAGTAATATTTTGATATTCGAATAATTATATTGAATATACTTGGAAAATCTTTTTGGAAAATCTTAAAATTCATTTAACTTAATTTGTTAAATCGAAATATCAAAATGTTTTCAACAATCTCCCCCTTTTTGATATAACAAAACATTTTAGTAATTTTAAGATTTTGAAATCAAAAACGACGTTTTTGAAAAATTACTCCCCCTTACTTTAACACTTCTTACTTCTCCCCCTTTTTGTTAAATCAAAAAGACTCGTGAAAGATTTTAAACAAGGATTTTGAAAACATTTAGCCAATTGATTATATATATAGTTTAAACTGCTAAGATTACAATCAAGAGAAACGTTAGCCATTAGTTTCATAATCAATATTCATAAACAATGTGACATGACAAAATTAGTCATATATCTAACATGATTTAAATGATGCAATAAATTTAAATAAACCAAATATATAAATTCAAACATCCAAACAAATCCAAATTCTATCAATCTACAAAATCAAACATTCCAAAATATTCAAAATGTTGAAACAATAATCTTTTAGTTCAAAGTTCTAAAGCTAAACACAGAATCAAACATCCGGATCGGGAGGAGGAAAACGAGCTTGCATAGCGGCCATCTCATGTGAGAGTGCATCAATACATTCATTCATCGAAGCGTTGTTTGTGCGCATCTCTCGGAGGATTTTTGTGGATAAATGAGACTCTATAGAAGTAAAGCGCGAATCCATGGTAGCATATCGAAAATCGAATGTCTCCATAAAAGATTGAAAATATGGAGGCATTTGATGCGTTTGTTGTGCTCTCTCCTCGGGCTGCTCCTCGGGCTGTTCAGACTCATCTTTGGCTTCATCGATGTCTCGCATTAATTTTTCAAGCTCGGGATCGTCGTCAGCTTCTGGTTGAGCTCGTGAAGAACTAGCTCCCGGAGTATTTTCAGAAGATCGAACCCATTCACCGATTTCCTTATCCTTTATCCATCCCGCTCTCGTTAAAAAAAGAAGATTAATTTGTTTCTTTAGAGGAAAGTGTTGAAAACATTTTGATATAAAAAATTAAGTTAAATGAATTTTAAGATTTTCCAAATGATTTTCTAAGTATATTCGATAGAATTATTCGAATATCAAAACATTACTCCAAATCTTTCAAAGATCAATTTTAATCCTTACTCAAAGTGTAAAGTTAAGTTTTAATCTTAAAACAATTTCAAAATAATTTTACAAAGTATTTCGAACCATTTCAAAGCCAAAAATTCCAGATTGCTTAGAGGGAACCGATTCCCCCCTAAGGGGGTACCGATTCCCCCATGAATGGTTTGGCTCCGAGAATTCCAGTATGCTCGGAGGGAACCGATTCCCCCTTGTATAACGGTCGAAATATTTGAATTTTACACTTAGGGAACTGATTCCCCCCACACTCCAAGCTATTTTATTAATTCTTTTCACACTAAAACGGCTATATGATCTTCACTAATCATCCCCAACGTTCATAAGTGATTCAAGGTGTATTTAAACAAGTTCTGAAGCCCTTGATCAACAAGAAATTATAGAGAAACAAGAGAGAAAGCATCAAACACCAAGTTTGTGCAAATCAAGCCAATTTTCCTTTCAATATTCATTTTGCTTTCAAAAAACACCATTTGTGCTCATTTGTAATTATTTGTGAGTGTTCTTTTCTTGTTCTAGAATTGTGCAAACATCTTACCTTGAGAGGTTTTCCTTGTAAGTTTGCAAATTTGTAATCTTCTCTTTGGGAAAGAGTGTTCTCAAGAATTGGGGTATATTCTTGAGGGTGTTGTAAGGTTATCTCTTTGGCCTCAAAAGAAAGAACAAATTAGTGAATTTGTTGGAAAATCCTTAGTTTGGATAGCTAAGGTAGTGGACGTAGACTTTGATTGAGAAAGTCGAACCACTCTAAATCGCTGTGCAATTACTTTCAATTTTCTGCAAAAGCTTCCACCAAATTTTTAATTGCCAATTCACCCCCTCTTGGACAATTCCGTCAATCGATTAACTCAACAATTAGTATCAGAGCCTAACTCATTTGAAGGTTTAATCGCCTCTTGAGTCGATCCGGGAAGAGTTAAATCGATAAAGATTGCGTCTACTTCCGGTTCATTCTGAATGGAAGAATCCAGACCTATTGACGTGCCTCCACACTTCAATGGAACAAATTATCATCATTGGAAGAGGTGTATGATGATATTCATCAAAGCATTTGATATGGAAGCTTGGATGATAATCAAGAAAGGATATTCCTCTTCTACTAAGAAGGCAAAGAAGTGGAGTATTCAAGAACGGAAGGAAGCTCAACAAAACTCAAAGACTATACACATGTTGTGTTATGCAATTGATCCTAATGTATATAAAGGAGTTTCTTCTTGTTCAAGTGCCAAGGAAATGTGGGATAAGCTTGAGGAGATCTATAGAGACAAGGAAGAAGAAGAACCAATAAAAGTGGTGTGTCTATTAGCTCTCATAGAGCCAAAAGTATCTTCTAACTCAAATATATCAAATGCAAAATCTTTTAATGAGTTACAAGATGCTTATGATAAATTATTTTCGGAGTTTGAGACCATGAACTCCAAATACAATAAATTGATTTCTAAATTTATTGCTAAAAATGATCTTCTTTTGAAAGCTAAAACAGACTTGGAAAATCAAAATGAAATGTTGAGAAAGGAGTTAGAGCTTTCAAAAATAAAATCTAAAAACTTTGAAAAAGAAATTTTCAAATTAAACAAACTTCTTCTAGAAATGAAAATAGATTTTGAAAATCAAAATGAAATCTTGAAGAAGGATTTAGAACTCTCAAAAATGAAATTTGAAAGTATCGAAAAAGAAAATTTCAATTTGAAAGATAAGCTTGAATGTTTAACAAGAGAAAAAAGAGATCATTCTAAATAATTCATCTAGTTCAATAATGACAATATGTTCACATTGTCATTATCATGGTCATAAGGAACATACTTGTCCTTTAAAGAAAGGAAAACGATTTAAAATTAGACAAGTATGGGTTCCAAAAGGAACAAGAGGCATTGAAACTAATGTTCAAGGATCCAAAGCAATTTGGATACCAAAATTTACTTAAATGTCTCTTGTAGGTGTGTGAGAGCAATGGTGATAAAGATGATGATATTCAAGATGCTCTAGCCACACATGAAAAAGGAATGGGTAACCTCTAAACTTAATTTTTTTATTTGGTTGCTCATTTAGTTTATGCATGCATGAGGTTTTAAATGTTAAATAATTCTAAATGATTATGTTTTGTCTCATGTATGTTGAAAAATATTGTATGATGAACATAATAATTTTTGGTAATGTTTTATAACCTCTAGTTCATCATATTTTTTTGGTCAAAATTGTTTTTAAAATGTAATTGATATCTCTTTAACAATTAATATCGATTTTTCAAGAACTTTGGTTTTGCAAAATTTTGACCTGAAATTTTTCTTAATGTTTATGCATAGATTTTTGTTTAAATATTATAAAGTTTTAATGCATAACATTTTCAAAAACTTTATGCATGTGCTCTTAATCTCTATAATCAACATTGCATAATGTTTTATATGTGAATGGATTAAAGCATAATCTATTGAGTATTAGTCAATTATGCGATAAAGGATTCAATGTCTTATTTGAAATTAATGGTTGTAAATTCATTGACATTGCATCTAATCGGATTATGCTTGTTGGTCATAGAATAGGAAACATATACATGGTGCATTTAGATTCTTTTGATATGACTAATTTATGCCTAGTTGCTAAGGATGAACATGATAGTTGGTTATGGCATAGGAGACTATGACATGCTAGTATGAGTGTTTTGCAACGGTTAATTCAAGGAGACCTAGTAAGAGGGTTGCCTAAGCTTAAATTTGATAATGATAAAATCTGTGATGCTTGTGCTAAAGGAAAACAAAAGCGAGTTTCTTTTAAATCCATTAATGATGTATCAACTAGTAGAGTTTTACAATTGATCCATTTAGATCTTTTTGGGCCAACTAGAACTACTAGCTTGGGTGGAAAACAATATGCATTTGTCTTGGTAGATGACTATTCTAGATATACTTGGGTTCTATTTTTAAATACTAAAGATGAAGCATTAGAACAATTCATCACATTTTCAAAAGTAATCCAAAATGAAAAAGGTTACTCTATTACTAGTGTTAGGAGTGATCATGGAACTGAATTTGAAAATATTGGATTTACTGAATTTTGTAACTCTAACGGTATTAGCCATAATTTTTCAGCACCTAGAACCCCTCAACAAAATGGATTTGTTGAGAGGAAAAATCAAACTTTAGAAGAAATGGCTAGAACCATGCTTTGAGAAAATAATTTGCCAAAATATTTTTGAGCGGAAGCCACAAATACCGCTTGTTATGCTGTAAATCGAGTAATGATTAGGCCAATTTTAAAGAAAACTCCATATGAAATTTTCAAAAATAAAAGCCTAACATTAGTTATTTTCATCCTTTTGGATGTAAATGTTTTGTTTTAAACAAAGGTAAAGAAAACCTTGGAAAATTTGATGCTAAAAGTGATGAAGGAATTTTTCTGGGTTATTCCTTAAATTCTAAAGCCTATCGTGTATTTAATAAAAGAACTTTAGTTGTAGAAGAGTCTATACATGTTGTTTTCGATGATAATCCCCTTCCGAGGAAGGATTCTTGTGTGAATGATGATGTAGGTGTTATAAATACAAATGACGTTAGACATGACGTTGGAGAACCATCATCAAAGGAAGAAACAAAAAATGAGGAAACTCATGATCCTCTTGAGAATCCAACCATTGAAGAAAAGGAAGTATCTTATCTAAGAGAGTACAACTATGTCAAGGATGGTGAAATTATAGGTGATCCATCAAAAGGGGTAACAACTCAATCTTCTCTTAGAAATATTTGTAATTATGTTGCATTTATTTCATGCATAGAGCCTAAGAATATTAAAGAAGCATTAAATGATGAACATTGGATTATGGCTATGCAAGAAGAGTTAAATCAATTTGAGAGAAGTAAAGTATGGACATTAGTTGAAAGGCCTAGAAATAAATCTATTGTAGGTACTAGATGGGTATTTAGAAATAAGCTTGATGAGAGTGGTAATTTAGTGAGAAACAAGGCTAGACTTGTTGCTCAAGGGTATACTCAAGAAGAGGGCATAGACTATGATGAAACATACGCTCCCGTAGCTAGGATGGAAGCAATTAGAATGTTATTATTAGCATTTGCATGTTTCAATGAATTTAAATTATATCAAATGGATGTTAAAGGTGCATTTTAAATGGTTTTATAAAAGAAGAAGTGTATGTGGAACAACCTCCAGGTTTTGAAGATTCAAATTTTCCGGATCATGTTTTAAAATTGACAAAAGCTCTTTATGGTTTAAAGCAAGCTCCTAGAGCTTGGTATGAAAGATTGTAAAATTTTTTAATTGAAAAGGTTTTTCAAAAGGGAAGGTTGACACTACATTGTTTTTGAAGCATAAAGGTAAAGATTTATTAGTAGTTCAAATTTATGTTGATGATATAATATTTGGATCTACTAATGATGTTCTTTGCCAAGAATTTTCTAAGCTAATGCAAAGTGAGTTTGAGATGAGCATGATGGGGGAGCTCTCATTTTTCTTGGGACTCCAAATCAAGCAAAGAAAAGATGGCATCTTCATCAATCAAGCTAAGTACGTCAAAGATATGCTCAAGAAGTTTGGACTGGAAAATGGGAAACCTCATGACACTCCAATGAGCTCTTCAACAAAGCTTGACTTAGATGAAGGAGGTAAATGTGTAGATGTTAAATTATATAGGTCAATGATTGGATCTCTACTTTATCTAACTGCAAGTAGACCGTGCTATATTTCAATCATGTCCTAAGGAATCACATTTACTAGCTGTTAAGAGAATCTTTAGATACCTTAAAGACACTCCTAGTTTAGGACTTTAGTATCCTAGAGACTCTAACTTTAGCTTGCATGCTTTTTCTGATGCGGATTATGGATGATGCAAATTAGATAGGAAAAGCACCTCCGGTACTTGCCAATTCCTTGGAAATATGCTAATTTCTTGGTTTTCAAAGAAACAAAATTGTGTTGCATTATCTACCACTGAAGCCGAATACATTTCAGCTGGTAGTTGCTGTGCACAAGTTTTATGGATGAAATAACAACTTTTTGATTATGGAATTGAAGTAGGTACCATTCCTATCAAGTGTGACAATACTAGTGCTATTTGTCTCACTAAAAATCCCATCCAACACTCTAGAACTAATCACATTGAAATAAGACATCACTTTATTAGAGACCATGTCACTAAGGAAGATGTAGTTCTAGAATTTGTTGATACTTTGCACCAATTAGCGGATATCTTTACAAAACCTTTAGACAAGGAACGATTTTGGACACTTAGGAGAGAATTAGGTTTGACCAATCTATCTTCACTGAGTGTTTAAAATAATTTTAGCACTTTTAATAATAAATGAAAAATGCTTATAATAGTAATTTTTTTATTGCATTCATTGCTATTAGTTAGGGGGAGTTTATGATTCGTGATGAAAAATTAATTTTATGTTCAAATATCGTTTAAAGATTAATTGAATTGTTTGAACATGATTAATTTTCAATATATGAGTTGTCAATACCACTAGAGGAAATTAATTTAGCATTTTGGGTGTTTAAAATCGGATTTTAGCATTTTGGTGCAGAGGGAATCGATCCCCCCCTGAGGGAACCGATTCCCCCTTTAAAGGGGAACCGATTCCCCCCACAGGGGAATCGATACCCCCCTGGGGTTCTGGTTTTAGCACGGGCAGGACCCAATATTTGCTGAAACCCTCTCTTATTCCTTCACGCCGTTTCTTACCTATACTCTCTCAAATCTCCATTCTTTCCTCAAATCAACATTTTTAATCGAAATTCACTTCAAATATCATCCTCTAAACCTGTTAGAATCATCAAAAACGTGCAAACTTCATCTAATCTCACTCAAATCCGAAATCCTTCAAGGTATTTTTCCAAAACTTATATTTTATCAATTTATGAACATAGAACTAGTTTTAATTAGTTCTAGATTGAATTTTTGATCGGGCATTGATTATTTAGTGATTAGAAACTAGATATTACAACTAATTTCATCAAAAACACAAGATTTTTTTCTAAATTTTCTAAATTTTTGAAATAAAAAAATTAAATTATTGTGTTTTAATTAAATTATGTTGTTATTATGAAAACTATACATATATTGTTTCTCAAAACCATATTTTTCAAAAGTTTTTCAAAAACTTTGCCCATTAGGATTGATTTAGAGAACCTTGAAATATTGAGGACTCAATTGAGTTTTGGGATTGATTGAATTGCATACATGTGTTTTCTAAATTACAGGTTATCAATTCTATTCCGATTTCCTAAACCATGTCCAATCCTAAACGTGCTAGGTCTTCATCTAGTCGTTCACACCGTCAACCAAATCCACCTCCAAATCCTCATTCTATTCCAATTTCTAATCCTAATCCCATTGATCCTAATTTGACTATCCAAAATTCGTGTTTCAATCATCCTGGTCCTAGAAATCATCGTTTTTGGTATTATCAATATTTCGACTCTTACAAAATCCGGGAAGAACGTATTCCTTCTCGTCAAGCTATGTTAGCTATCAATTTTAAATATCTTCCTCTTTTACAAGAGTGGAAATTTGATAAACTCTTTGATCTTGAACCCATCGTTTACCATCAAATTGTTCGTATTTTCTATTCTAATGCCGTTTGTGTTAAAAACCAAACTGAAACCGAAACCATAGGAATTCGTTCCTACCTCCTAGGATAATTCTTATATATTGACTCGGCTTACATAACCAATACATTCGGATTAGATAATGATGGTATTTCAAATGAAAAACAGGTTTTAGGATCTCGTTATAAAAGAAGGGATAGTGCAAGTGTCTTAGACCTTCATGAACGTTTTCTTCATCTAATAATTTCTTGGTGGTTTCGACCATCCGGAGGTCGTTATTCTACTCTTAGAGCCTTAGATCTTTGGTGGTTACATTGTTTTAAAAACAATATTAAAATTAACCTACCTCAGATTATTTTTGCTGAAATTGTTGAAACCGTAAATCTTGTTCCTAACAAGAAACTCTGTTCCTCTCTTGTTTACGGTTGCATTTTGAGTAATCTGTTTTCAAAAGCTGGGCTTAGAGTCAGTCTAGATGCCGTTTTTCCCCTTAAGAAACAAAATTAACCTACTTTCCTTAACGAGAGCGGGATGGATTAAGGATAAGGAAACCGATGAATGGGTTCGATCTTCTGCAAATACTCCGGGAGCTAGTTCTTCACAAGCTCCACCCGAAGCTGACGAAGATCTCGAGCTTGAGCAATTAATGCGAGACATCGATGAAGCTGAATATGAGCCTGAGCAGCCTGAGGAGTAGCCCGAAGAGCAAGCACAACAAACGAATCCAATGCCTCCATATTTCCAATCCTTTATGGAGACATTCGATTTTCGATACGCTACTATGGATTCGCGCTTTACTTCTATAGAGTCCCATTTATCCACAATGGGAGCTCAACAATTAGAAATTCTTCGGGAAATGCGTGCAAATAATGAAGCAACCAACGCACGTATTAATGACTTCACTAACGAAATGGCCGCTATGCGAGCTCGTTTTCGTCCTCCTGATCCGGATATGTGATTCAATGTTTTGCTTTGAACTCCAAACTTATTGTTTTAACATTTTGAATATTTTGGAATGTTTGAATTTATGGATTGATTGACTTTGAATTTGTTTGGATTTATGAATGGTTAGAAATTATCTATTTGATGTGATTAAATTTATTCATTATTGCATCATTTACTTCATGATTAGATATATGACCAATTTTTCCATTTCACATTAATTATGAATATTGATTATGAAACTAATGGCTAACGTTTCTCTTGCTTGTGATCTTAGCAGCTTATATTATATATAATCAATTGGCTAACTGATTTCAAAACCTTGTTTAAATTCTTTAAAATGTCTTTTTGATTTAACAAAAAGGGGGAGAAGTGTTAAAGTGTTTTTAAATGATAAATGGGAGAAGTGTTAAAGTAAGGGGGAGTAATTTCAAAACTTGATTTCAAAATCTTAAAATTACTAAAATGTTTTTGTTATATCAAAAAGGGGGGAGATTGTTGAAAACATTTTGATATTTCGATATAACAAATTAAGTTAAATGAATTTTAAGATTTTCCAAATGATTTTCTAAGTATATTCGATAGAATTATTTGAATATCAAAACATTACTCCAAATCTTTCAAAGATCATTTTTAATCCTTACTCAAAGTGTAAAATAAAGTTTTAATCTTAAAACAATTTCAAAATAATTTTACAAAGTATTTCGAACCATTTCAAAGCAAAAAATTCCAGATTGCTCAGAGGGAACCGATTCCCCCCTAAGGGGGTACCGATTCCCTCATGAATGGTTTGGCTCCGAGAATTC